CCGCAGCTTCCAGCAAATATGTCATTTCTGATTGCTGTGGAGAATTGAAGTGCGCTGGTGGGGAGGCGGGGGATGAAAGCAAGAATGAAATAAATACAGGGGGCAACCATGCCAGCACGGCAATTCCACTTTTATTAACATGAACATAATCATCACTCTTCCTTTGTCTCCTGATGAATCAGAGGAAATTGCTTCCCAAGCCTTTAGCCTTTCAGCTACTTCAGCTGTGTTTTGTTTCTCTAAGATTCAACTGTTCTGACAGGATTTCAGCATGTTATTATGAGAGCAGAGGAGCTGCATCCAGAAAGCAAAGCTTCACAGAGCAAATAGCCAATAAATGTTGCTTTAAATTCACATGTTTTTTATAGAGAACTCTAATGCTAGGAACAGATATGGATTTGGAGAAGAGGTGATACTGTATTACAGGTGTGTTTATGGACGCTAGTGGACAATCTCATGTAAAACAGTAATGGGTAGTCTAACATTACCTATTAGATTTTAAACCTGTCATTTCAATGAAACTGATTTTCTATTTAATACTTCCAAACTACAAGCTTATAAACAAGAGCACATTGCTTTGCATGGTGGTAGGGTATGGTCATATTAGGACAATGTTTATTTATTTATATTTTGCCAAAAAGATGGGCTTTTTTAAAGAAAATACGTACTGGATCAAGTGAAACATTTGACATTTTAATACCAAAATCCCAGAATAGTTCATGCTGGAGAGGCAGTGGCAAAGTTCCAAAGCAGAAATCTTTAATTTTGGCACTGTAAAAATGTGGCATTTCATCCCTTTAATTTGCCACAGGCTTTTCATTTTGAACATTTCTTTTGATGAAAGCAAGCATGCAAATACTAATAATAAAAAAACTATTTAGAATTCAATAAAATGCTTCATTTGATCCTCTTCAGTTTGCTGGAAAAGTTCAGCATGAACATTCAAATGCTGTTTTCCTTCAAATTGTGGTAAAACTGCTGACCCATTAGTTGCACATTTTAAATGTGCCAAGTGCAGAGAAGGGCTCCTCTAAAAATTCTTGGAATTCGTATTACCCGGTGGGACTGTCCTGATGAGTGTGAAAGCTCAGCCTAGTGTGTATGGTGCAAACACAGAGTCAGAGGTTGTCTCTGTCCTGAAGACTTTAACCTTTTGGATATTAGATTGCCATAGGGTTAGTTACTTTTGTGTGGAATGACACAGAGAGAATTTGAAACTCTGTTTGAAATGACTTTCCATCACTGGAAAATGCAGACTCTGCACTTCTTGGGTAAGACGTGATTTTTCCTTTTTTCCTTTTTTTTTCATAATATGAAAGGTGACAAGAAAACACAAACAAGATGTCTATTAAGCAACAGATTTGCCACTAGGCACTGCTGATACTGTGTGGAGCCAGGCAAAAAGAAGGAAGAAGAACTAAGCTTATATTTAAAGAGCTTTCTCTCTCTCTTTCACTGGCTTTGAAATATGCTCATCTTAGTTGAGCTTTTATTAATTAAAATTCCTGGATTTTTTAATCCTAAGAGAACATTAAAAAGCCTCACTAAAATATAAATAAAAACATTGAAAACATTCCTGAAAGTGGCTAAGTTCAAGCATAGCAGCCATTTTTATCTGATGATAGTGAGAAGAGTCTTAACTTGGTGTTTCAACTTTTGTGTGCCATTCTGGGATTCCTAGTATAAGAGGAACGTGGAGCTCCTAGAGAGGGTCCAGCGGAGAGCAACAAAGATGATTAAGGGACTGGAGCATTTCTCGTATGAGGAGCGACTGAGTGAGTTGGGCCTGTTTAGCCTGGAGAAGAGAAGGTTGAGAGGGGATCTGATTAACATGTATGAGTTCATGAATGGAGAATGTAGGGAGAAAGGGGCCAAGATCTTCTCAGTGGTGGCCACTGACAGGACAAAGGGTACTGGGTATAAGCTGAAACACAGGAAGTTCCATCTCCATGTGAGGAGGAACTTCTTTCCTGTGAAGTTGACAAAGCCCTGGAACAGGCTGTCCAGGGAGGCTGTGGAGTCTCCTCTGGAGATCTTCCAAACCTGCCTGGATGCCGCCCTGTGCCCTACGCTCTGGGAGGATGAAGAGAAAACAGAAGCAAACTCTTGTCAGAGCTGCATGGTGGTAGAGGAGGCAATGGACACAAGCTAGGACACTGGAAATTTCAGGTGGATATCAAGAAAAACCTTTTCTCCTTGAAGGTGATCAAGTACTAGAATCAGAGAGGTTGTGGGACCTCCACTTTTGGAGATACTTAAAACTGAACTGACCCTAACCCCCCTGATCCAGTTGGACTTGCTTTTTAGAGGGGGCTGGACCAGATAACCTCCACTGCTACTTTCCAACCTGACTTGTTCTATGGGTCTGAGACCATAAAATATTGATAAAAGAAACAAGAGCGCACCAGGAGAAAGATGATCAGCAGACTTAGTGACAACAGACAAGTTTTAAATTGTTATTAAGAAGCTAAGGAATCTTAACATCACCACTCGGTTACTGTGAGAATGATTGAATCACTCATAAAAACGCAGAAATGGCAAACTCTTTCAAAAAAGCTTATTCTGTAAGGAGATGAAAACCAAGAAATGTAATTATACGGTATTAAAATGACATATTTCCCATCCCAACAACAATGAAGGATACAGTGTTAAACAGCCACTACTAAAAGTAGATGTTTTCAAATTGGCAGATATAGCTAGCTAGCCCAGATCAAACAGCACAAAAAAGAGGAACCTTCAGACCATTCTGGACCATTGGTAGTACTTTTAACAAGCCCTGGATCAGAAAGAAAATTCTAAGGAATTGACAGAAGTTGATACTTTGAGTGGATAACAGTAGAATTAAGGATGGTAATTAATGTGAATGAATACAGATTTAGGGAATATAGCTCTTGACAGACCAACTCAATGACTTTTTTTAATGAGATGTATAAATTTGGTGGACCAAGAGAAATCTGTTTACACAATATGGATGTGCTTCTCTGTAGTGTCCGACTTCATTTTGCCAGACGTTTTTATTAGGAAATTCTACTGGTCTGGTTTGTGAAATAAAATGTGTCAATAGCCAAGTTTCAGGCTTATGGTCTTCAACATATAGTTAACTGGAACAAGTGGCCATCACCAAAACACTGCTGGCTAGGACCTCGTGAAGTTACCTAGTCAGTATCTGCACCATGGACTATGCCATTCCTGCTCAGTGTTTTCCAAGTCCATTCTTAGTGATTTCCAGTGATGGAGACTCCCCAGCCCGTACTTTTCCATCCTATCCATGGGAAGATTTTCCTTCGATCTTGGCTGCATCTTCCTTGATGAAGTACAATCTCATTATTATGTGTTCAGCCCATGGGAGTGGTAGAAAGTACATTCAGGCCTTCCAAAGGGCTGAATTACTACTTATTTTTACATTCTTTCCATACATTTCCTGGCACATAGTGCTACAAACTGTATTTCTTACCTTAAATGAGGCCTCTCTTAAGCAAAGCAAAGTGGAGTAATTATTGCCCTATATATGACGTGGCCTCTAAGAACAGACACTGAGAGAGTGTCACAAGGTAGCTCAAGTCTAGGTATTTCATGCCTCCTGCTTCTCGTCCTTCTATAAGGCCTTTTACATATTCAAAGAAGAAAAACAGATTCTCTTCATGTCATCTGATCGTGTCCAAACCCATGCAACATTTTTCTTTATACTCTTGCCTTCTAGAGACCTTTCTAATCTTTCTCAGGGCTAGTAAACAAATGATTCACTTGTTTCAGCTTTTCTCAGTCTGTAACTCCCCAGCTCTACGTTGTTCTTCTTTTTAACGCTGATCTGTGTTTGCCCTTTTCCTTGCTGCTCCAAGTCTATAAACATGGTAGAGAACCCTCTTTGTCTGTTCCCACGACACCTCTCTCACTGCTGCCCTCCACAAATGAAACTTGAGTCTCAAAGTCTAATTAATCCAAGTCTGCTGGTAGACACCACCTCCCCTTGAGTCCTAGAGATCTCTGTTTGTAGTTAGGCAGAGCAGAGGAAAATTGTGCCTCATAGGGGCTGGCAGAGATGGGTGGGCAAGCAGAGAGGAGGTTGTGAAGCACTAGTTCTGCCAAACAAATATTATATTCCTCTCCTTTCTGTTTTGACATTAAACAGGCTGAGTGGATAGAGGGAAAATGCAGACACAATTAACCAGATATTGCAAACAGCAGGGAGAGTTGCTTTCTATAACTAGTTTATGTTTCAGACACACAACTACAGAGAATAATGCAATAACACAAATAATGCAGTATTTATCCAGGGTTTATTCACTGCAAGTCCTCTGAGCTCTGCTTGTGTTTATCTTTATTTAATTGACATTGTCAGATGGCCATCAACACATCCAATTAAAATGGTTCAGCAGATTCCACTATATATTTTTATTTTTTTCTTCATCAGCATGTAGCTTAAAATGTCCAAAATAATTTGTCTGAGCACTGGTAATGAATAGCAAGTGCGCTCTGTTCCAGGCTTCATACACTAAATTTCAACCACACAGCATTTTACGCCAATGCAAACTGCATTAATAATGAAATCACTGGTGTAATCCTCAGTGTAGCCTTAGAGGGGACCAGGGTTCATTGCGTGATACGGTGCAAGGTTTTTGGTTTCTCCTCTTTGGCCCTCTCTGATAGCTGTCTGCATTATTTGGACTATTTGGGCCTTAGATAACCTAAGCCTTGGTGTTTAAGTGTTTTGTGGAATCTATTTAACTAGATCCTACCAGTAGGACTTAAGTACACCCTTAATATTAGGTATTTGTTTAAGTGCTTTGTTGAACTGCAGCCTAGTAGATCCTCCTCAAAAGAAAGTGATTTTCAATCTAATAAGGTTATCTTAGTGTGAACATTTTAACTACATCAATCAATATGCCCGACAGGAGTAAATGACTAATGGGATTTCTCTTTTCTTTCTTTCTTTGTTACCAGAATGATGAATTGACTTTGCCTGTTGCTGAAGATTCTCATCTCCTTAATGCATTGCAGATATGTCTAATGGACATGAGCTGTCAGGGTCTGGCAGTAGCCAGTCCCAACCAAAAAAAAATCCCCCTGGGAGTATTTCATCAGATTCCAGCTCTGCTGTTGCTCTCCTCACAGAGGAAAATTTGAAAAAGCTGGAAAAAGAGTACATAAATTCTAAAGAAGCCTTCAATAAGCAGAAAATAGAAGATTACATTAAGCAGAGTAATCTCGCCCTGTCCAGTGAAGAAACAACGACAAAAAGCAGCGGAGAGTTTGTCTGGGATGAAGAGCCTGAAGGATCCTCCTCATCCCTTCCCACGACATGGAACAAAGATCCCAAAGAAGTTCACGGGGAGATTTCTGAAGAAATTTCAAGGAAGGATGAACTTTCAACAGGTATTTCACAGAAATACATTAGTGGTAGGGGGAAAGATTTAAGTAGATGTCTATGATCTTTTTAAGTTTCAGTTTGCACACAGCAAATATGGCCATCCTTGCCTGCGAGCAAGGGCTGTAGTTGTGTGGACTCATAGGCTGGTTTGCAGAATCTATTTGGACAAAGGTATGGACCTTTGAGAGCATGGGAAGGAGCACTAGCACCCAGATATGAATCCCACCAGTGGAATCTGTCCACAAAAGCTGGGCACAGTAGCCCAGTTGGGGGAAAAACAAAGGAGGGTATTTTATAAATGACTTAAATGGAAGCACTGTGAAGCCAGGACAGAAAATATCTGGAAATCTTGCCCCATTCATTTTAGAAATAAGGCAGCACTTCTGATTTTCCAAGGTATTCAAATCTAAACATTGTGACTTAAACTTGTCTTAAAAGTCTGAGCTGCTCTGATGCATACAAATACCAGCAAAGCAGAATTGGACAATGTATTTTTTTCACTAGATATCTAAAGCTGTCCTTACTTTTTTCCATATACTCTACTTTTAATAATTTTACAGCGTGTTAAGCAATCCAGCTGGAATCCAGAAGCAGACAGCATAGACAAAAATGACACGTGTGTTGTTGCAGTATGAATGATGGGGTCAGAACTGGACCCAGGCAGCAAATAAAGAAGGGACAGGTGACACCAGTCGGAAGGGAAAGATCTGTGTGGCCCACTGGGAAGGGGACCACTAAGCACCTTGGGGAAGGACAACTCAGTTCTTACAGCTGGACAAGCTGTCTTTATGGAAAGATCTCAAACTGGGATCCAAGTGGGATTCCTTGCCCTAAATACAAACCAGGTTCTAAAGGAAAGATTGGACCTTTCCTCTATTTCTTCTTTGTACGTGCTTGAATATGGTCATGAATTCTTCTGCCCCGTGCATAGCCTGAAGTGCACAACTGGCATAGCCCTTAGTGCAAAGATTCAGCATAGCCCTTAGTGCAAAGGGTTGCCTAATTCCTACAGAAGTCATGCATTATTCCTCTGCAGGGCTTGGCCAGCAGGACTGTTTTCTGCTCACTTCTGCATTTTTTTTTTTCTACGTAAATCTTGGCCACCTCTGAGAACAAGAACAATTGACTGTTTGCACATACAAGGTTTAGTTTTTGAACAGTTTTCCGCATGGAAATCAAATATTCTTAGCAGACATTCATGAGCTGCATCCTTGAGGATAAAACTACTTCTGCAAGAGGCTAAGGATCTAAAATAGCCATAAGTGACTGTAATTCAATGCATGCAGAAAATCTCAAAGTGCTATTCCAAGGAATTGTGTGTTGGATTTCCACATTTTTACCTTGCAATTTAAAATTCAGATTAAATATGAAGTTTATTTAAGCCTATTCTGTTTCATGGCTAGTATTTAGATATCAGTGGTTTTACAGAGGAAAATCAAATATAACTTTGGAAATATCGCATTTGGGACCAAAAACAAACAAGCAATACGTCTGCAAGAGTTTATAGTCACAGGTCTTCTTTGGCCCTTTTCAATCTCTTTGCATTGGTTTTAGTTGTAAAATTGGAGCTGTGACCTTTTGATACTCTTTTGGGCTCCTTGATTTTTTTTTTCTCACAGAATCACAGAGTGGTTGAGGTTGGAAGGGACCTCTAGTCCAACCCCCTGCTCCAGCAGGGACACCCAGAGCACGGGGCACAGGGCGGCATCCAGGCGGGTTGGGAAGATCTCCAGACAAGGAGACTCCACAGCCTCCCTGGTTGTTGTGTCTAATCTATTTTTCTACATTTTCTTTTATATCCTGTTCTTCTGCCACCCTCCTGTGCTGCACCAATACCTCCTTCCTCTCTACATGCCTCCACATCCACTCTTGCCCAGGCCTCTGTGATCCTGCAGGTACCTCCTCTCTTCTATCAACTTCTTCAAACTCCTGCCCTGTATCTCTCCCTCTGTCCTCTTTGAAAATAACTACACTTGGTATTTTGTTGCTGACATACATTCATTAACCGTTTGTTCAGAGCATTTGAGCTGGATCCTGCATTCAGGAATTGCAGCCAGCTTTGTACATGGTGGTTGCAACAGATCTGCTATGCTCTGCACACAGAGAAAAATGTACAACATGTAGTCATTGAATTAATGCAAGCCTGGAGGAAAAAAAAAGGGCTGCTTGGGCAGTGAACCCCGTCAGGTCCTTCATGTGCCCGTATGGGCCAAGATGCCCAGAGTGTCCACCACGAGTGTGGCTACACAGAAGGGCTACACAGAAATAGCCAGGGCTGCACCGGCTGCACAGAAGGGCTGTTTCTTGTCCTCTTCCCTTTGCAACACTGACGACAGCTGGAAGTGGGCGAGAAGACAGTCACAGCAGTTCAATTTGGTGTCCCTACCCCTGTGCACGCACACGGGCATAAGCAATGAAGGTGGGACACCCATGGGAATACGTCCTCCCAATGAGCTGGTAAAATTAGAGAATCTAGAGAGCTTACAAATGAAACCAGAGTGGAAAAGGCAAAGTAAACTAGCTTGTAACTCTTGTCCCTTCTGCTGCAGAGCCTGTCCTCAGTCTACGGCAATTTTTTTACAGCTCCTTTCTGGGAGCTACTTTTTCACCTGCCTACGATTTATTGTGCCACTAAAATAGATGACGAAAAATGTTCCCTGTTAAGGTGGGAAGGTTTTATCTGACACACAAAATAATGAAATAGCAAGAAATTTCAAGGAAGAAAAATCCTGCTATTCTACACAAAAAAAAAAAAAAAAAAAAAATCCAACTTTTAATTTTTTTTTTAAGAAATCTTCTTCTCTCCTCTCCAGAGTTGGCGACAGATTCCCTATCAGCTCTGCTCATTGGTTCTAAGCTGGAGGAATCCAAGTAAGGAGAGTAATTGGTAACATTTTTCTATATAATTCAGTCAAGTTAGACTGTATTTATGCTATCTGTAGGCTCACAGCAGGAACACCTAACAACTGGAGATTTACAGTATGCCTGAGACATCTGCAACCTGGCAGCCTCTGCTGTATCTGCACTATTACTAATCTGAAAGTTACGTCTGTCTAAGTAATTATCTTTGGGCCCCTCGTTGTTCGTTATATTAAAAAGGACACTGACAGCCTCTGTAGATTTCATTATTTTTCTTTTTTTTTAAGACAGATAAATCCTGCACAGCATCTCTAGAAATTGCTGCAATGTATGATTTTTATTTCGCAGAATGCTCTTTTATCTAGGGAGGAAAAGTAAGCCTGATTCCCCAGCCAAGTTAAATCGGTGTAATTCCACTCTTCACTCTACCAATGCTGCTGGAACAATGTTGATTTATGTTAGCCAGGGATATAGCTCACTCCTTTTGGCTGTGCAATATAAATGTTAGACATATCTAATCCTTTTTTTGGGGGGCAAAGAGGAGAAGAGAGAAGCTGATCAGAGATGCCTGTTAAAGAAATGGAACAAAAAGACCAAATTCTTCCATGGTGTACTTTAAGTGGCATTCAGTTCATTGACAAAATTCTTTATAGGAATATTTGAGAGATGTGGCTTTTTTGTTTTCCTTAAAAATGTTATCACAGCTGCTTAACATCAAGGGAATTGGATATAAGAAGCTATTTAAAGGAAGGCTCTGGTGTGTTGCTACGTGTACATTCCCTGAGATTTTTTTTTCATTATAGTGACATTATAGTGATATAAATTTATAATTTTCCACCTCAAGGAGTGTGAGCTCTATTTTTTCCAAAACTAGTAAGCACTGTAAAAAATGTTATGGTCTGAGGTAAAGTGTCCATTGTGCTATCCAGGGAAATTGGTCATAAGGTTTCCAAGAGGGATAGCAGAGAGTCATTGTCATAAGGAAACGGGCTGCACAAATGCACGAAAAACATTACTGATGAGTAGTTCGTGCTTTTCCATGAGGGGCATCCCTAAGCATTGCTGGCGGTGGGATGCGGTCCAGGTGGTCGGCTCAGCCATGGCAGGAACAGAGCCCGCCCTGAAGGAGCCAGCCACGATTTGGGCTGTCAGGATCAAGGTAGTGACCCCCAGCAAACGCCTGGGGCTGTGCCCGGATTCCCTGAATTCCTAAATTTCCAGTTCTGTTCTTCACTTGTAAGGTGGACATGATGGTGTTCCGCTACCTCGGCAAAGCTGGGAGAGTAAACACACAAAATATGTGTGAGGTGCCCAGATGGGAGGGCAGCAGAGGCACCAGAGCACCTCAGCTCCCTTTATTCCCTTGAGAATCCATTTTCATCCATGAATGCATTAATTTGTGTGTGCTGTGCCCAGAATCCTTTAAAATTCTTAGGCAACTAATAAAAAAGCAGTGATGTGTAACAGCCTTGTTGCATTACTAATAGAGATAAACAATAAAAAAATCAAACCTCCTTCCTTTGCATCAGATCGAGTCAGGCCCCAGTGGCACTTTGTTCGGCACGATATTTTTTCATACTTTCTTTTTAATTTGCCAGGACCCCAGGCATCTTTAAATTAGTATGTCAGAGGCAAGCAAAAAAAAAAATTCTCCCTGCATTGCAAGAATAGAAGTGGCTGGAAATCTTAATACCTCTGTGTCTTAGGCTCAGAACAATTTCACATCTTGGTAGACAACTCCAGGTGAAAAGGGAGAACGGGAAGATTTCCAGAAAGTACTATTTTCTGCTGGACATGCTGTGATAAGAGAGAGGTTTTTCTCCTTCCCATGCCAGAAATAGCACCAACAGCCTCTATGGGGTGCAGAATGAATGTCATAGTGCAGAGTAAACTAGAGGTAGGGGAAACACTAAGTCTGTGGAGGCCTCTGTGCACAGTCCCTACTAAAAGTCCTTTAATATTTGGGGTTTTGAGGCTGATGGTTCACTACCCTCTGCTGCCCTTAGGCCCTTGCTTTGTGTGTGCATCTCTCCTCACCAGGTATTGCAGAGGTCTAACGTTCTCATTTTCTGAAATTTGACTTTTTAAGATGACTGATGCTACCTGCCCCAAACAATGACACCAAGAATCATCAGTAACATCTAGGAAACTTTGCCTGTTCCTCAATCCCTGAGCACTCATCCCCTCTGGCTATAAACCGAGTTTATACCATCCAGTTTGCCCTCTTTGCAGGCAGCACGTTGACGACTCCCTTGCCTCGTCCTGCAGCAGCAGGCACCAAGTCAAGGACGTGACGACTCAGACTGAGTGGAGCTATTCAGGTAAGTCCCTAGCTGTCAAGGAGCACCTAAAGTTCATTTAAGATAGGCCTGTTCAACATCACATGTAGCTGGCTCTCCAAAAGAGCCAGACTTAGAGAAATGAATCTGTGAGTTTGCTTTAAAGTTTTCAATGGCCTCATTGAAAAATATACTCAAAAAGAACGTTTCATTCCACTGAAACATTGATCCAGTTGTAGAACTTTGACAGGAGGAAAAATACCCCTCAAAACCAATTTCCTAAGTTCTGTTCCCTTCCTATTGATCCATGGCTTTTTTTCCTTACATCCAGATTTGGTTTGTTTTCCACATTATTAGGGATTTCATGTAGAAATTGGCCCAAGGAGAATACTTGGTTCCAGATGAAGTTAAATATCAGTGAGAGTTCAAAGGCAAATTGGAGCCATTCTCAGCATCTCATGCAATGAGACAGTAGTTGATGAGCAGCAGTGAGAGTGCCCTGAGCCTGTACAACCCAAGCCTGATAATTTTGCAGTGAGCCGAGGAAATCACCCAAAAGCAACTGTGTCTGTGTTAAGACTGTAGCAATTCTGGTAATTAAACACAGATCTCAGCTTGCCCTTGACGTTGGTCCTGTCCACCATCAGCACAACAAGCCCTGATCTCCAGGGCACCTGGAGACACCTCCAAGCCTCCTGGCCCAGTTATTGCTCCTCCTGGTTGCCACCAGCATGAGGGGCCTCTGCAACCGTTCAACATTATCCTGCAAAGCCATAGATTGCTCTTAGGATAACTCAACTCCATTTCCATCTGTCCATTTGAGAGCTGAAGTTGCACTGATTTCTATGACCACATTGGACACCTGGACATTTTAGGGGATCCTGAGTCTGAAAACACTTATCTGTGAAAGAAGCACTTCCCCCTTGGAGTCCCAGCACCCAGGATAACATCCCGGTTGAGTTCGCCCCTCAGGCCACTGAGAACACAGGATAGTGGTGTGGTCTGGGGTGTATGCCAAGAAACATGTTGTCACCAGGCTATCCCAGGCCACGAGGATTTATTAAACGCTTAGCTAGCAAAACAAAAGGCATCAGCTTCTTGGCTGTAGCTTTTTGCCAAAAGATAGGCAGGGCGTGCTTCAATGCAGATGTCTCAGGGAAAAATGTGCACTGCATTAGAGAGCTGTGACTCATAGAATAATTATCCTCATTTCTCATAGTTTATTAATAATTTAAACCCAATCTTGGTGTTATTGATCTATCACTGAATCAGAGATTTATTTCAGATCTGTAGTCACAGAAGCAGTAAATTTAATCCCCCTCTCCCCTCCCCACCCTTCCACCTACTAAACTCACTTTATAACTAAAATATGATGTTTGGGCTGTTTCAGTAATAGAAGAGAAGAGCAGCTCAGAGGGAACGAAATGGAGCAGCCTTAAACCCACCAAACACCAAGGTGAGCAGCATTAGCATTTGGATTCTAGTACAGTTTTAGATCTGTTAATTGTCTTAGAGATGCTGAGCCACAGTTACCATTTGCTGGCATGAGCATCCTAACCAGATCCTAAAATGTTTTTTCCAAGGGTTCACTATGATACCTTTCCAGAAATAGCACCTGCTTTGCACTTTTCCTAAGTGAGGATCTCAGCTGTATCCTCTGGAAACACAGACATGATGTCCCTGAAGTAAAAGCACCTGCAATGCATAGGCTGTGAATTATGAGCCGCACAGGCTAATCAGGCCTGGGCCTGTTTCTAGTCTGACATAAAGTGGTGCAAATGTGAAGCAGCTGCCCCAGTGTCCCAGGAGTATCATGGCTGTAAAATCAATTTAAGTGCATGGATGATCGAGCCTAGAAATTGTAATGTGAAGGATCCTACAGGAGTGCTCACTTGGCCTATGGTGTCTGTGTCCAGTGCTTTGGCTGATATAAACAGCAAAATCTGGCCTTTTAATGGAAGTCAGGAACAGCAAATAGTGTGCTTTCTATTAGTAAAGTGCTCAGAATAGTGATTTTTGAAGGCTCATAGATATATGTATTGATAATTTATTATGTTATAAATATAATTTATTTGATATAATATAAAAAATATTATAATGTATTAATAATTAAGTATATCAGACCAATTGTAATAAATAGTTGAGGTAGCAAAGGTACCTAAAAGCTGATCTTTCTTTTTCTATCTATATTACCGGTACAATAAAATATAGCACCATCCCCTGCCAGCCCAGGCTCACTGCTGTCCTTAGATCATGTCCTTAGATGCCAGGGCTCCTGTAGCTATGGAAAAGCGTGATGGGGCCAAGCAGCCATAGCCTGACTCTAAAAGGGAAATGTGAGCTCAGTACAGCCATGTGGAGAAGAGGTGTTGGAGGAATAAAGCACATGAGTGAGTGTGGGATGGTTTTCTTACGCTGGGTATTTCCTGCCCACATGGGAGAAATTCCTTGAGATGATAGTCAGGAAAATAAACCACAGTGACACAGCCAGTCTACTTAAAAATAAGCTTTTCAGACGTGTCATTCTTAATAGTGGAGGAGCTTGATTTTCTTTGGTTTTTGTTTGATTTTTTTTTTTGGGGGGTGGAGGTTGTTCACTTTGAGTTAACTAAACCCAGAATAAGAGCAGTGAAATGCTGCTATAATCCCGTAGGACAACAGATGGTTTAAGAAGTAACACACTGGGATGAAGAGACTGGGATCTGCATGGTTGTTTGGAGGGGAGTGAAGTTGAGGAAATCAGGGGCCAGAAATCTTGCTCAGCATTTGGCTCCCAGCACTGATGGGACTGTGGCAATCGCCCAGCGAGAGGTCCTCCAAAGTTCAGGCTTTCCTGCACTGCACCCTTCACTTCTGCTGCCCCCAAGAGAGTCATTTGGCCACATTTTACCTGAAGCTGTAAATTCTTAGAAATTGTGGCTTTCCTGCACTTAAAAACCAGTGACCTCCCTTCCTCGAGGAAGATGGAACAGGTGGAGTGAGTAATTGCATGCACAAGTACCAGTTACCAGTTCAAGTCTCTGTTTTGAGTGTCCATTTGTGAAGGAAACAGATTGAGCACCTCACTGAATATTTAACCCTTCCTCCCGCAGTTTAGTTCCAGATTAGCAATTAAGAGAGTATTTTCAGTACTGAGTGACTGTTCAGTAGAGAAATCAAGTCTCTCTAGGTCTGAACTAAGCAGTTCAGTCTTGCTTAGATCGATATGCTTTCTGAATGAGGTGGTTACAGAGCCCACATCCCCCTTATCACCTAGCAGATGATATCTACTGCATTTAAGCCCCGTTACACTCTAGTGAGGTGAGGATGTACCTTTGCCTAATATTATAAGTGAATAACTGGAGAATTATGGTCCATCTCATCCCACCTCAGCTGCAAACTTGCCCTCCTCTGAAGCACTTGCTGGAGGTACCCAGTTGTTGAGTGTATTACCCTCCTAATTTAGGCACAAGGGATGAATTTGGGCTTCTGTAACCTGATGAAGTTGGCAGGTTTCTGGGCCCATGGGTCAGCATCCTTTCCCCTGGACCTGTCCTCTCGTCTCACTCCCAGCCACAGTGATGCTGGAGGTTCTGGAGCGCAGTCATTTGGTTTCAGCCCCTCCACCCAGCACTGAGCTGCTCCTGGTGGCTCTCCTTGGCCACCCCTGCTGTGGTCCCTTCATGGAACCTCCAAGGGTGATTCCTCTTTCGATGTACAGGAAAGCATTGGGACAGTTTTTCTTAAACTTCTTCACATGGACTCCTTGATGAAAGAAGATGAACGACATGCGTACTTCCAAAAAATGCTCTGGGGCAAATCATGTAGCAGGATTCAAGTGACAACTGGACATTTTGAAATTTATGGAAATGTATTGACAGTTACAAGGACCTGCTTAGCCTGATGCGCTCAGCTTCCTTCCTAGGATCAGGAAATAATTTCTACCCTCTTGTATTTCCTAATTCATGTCTAGCTACATGACAGGGGTTCTTTCTCTTCCTCAGAATGTCCGGGTAAGGTACATCCGTGGGGCAGGGTGGACCATCAGTTCCTGCAATGGTGTAAAAGCTATTCCATTTCTCACATTTCTCACATTGTGGGAACTCGTGCTTTTTCCTCCATACCTAGTGGGGCTCTACAGTGACACTGAGAAACATCCCGAGAGGGAGGAGAGCAAAGAGACAACTGAAACCGAGAAAGAGGCGGCAGCTGAGGAAGGAGAGGAATACAGCCTGTGTGAACAAGGTACAGTGTGATCTTTCATTAATCACAGCATCAGTGAATTAGTTGCCCAGCTTGGAAAATTCCAGGCTAACCTAAAAATCATTGTGTCCGTAAGAATAAGCCAACCCATTCAAAGTCCTTCATTTGCTACTGTGGATCAATATTGGTGACAGTGGGGCACAACTGATCCTCTCTAGTCCTTTCATCCAGAGCTGTCATGCAAGGGAAAGGGGAAATGTGTCATTTCCATGACACAAAAAAATGTCCCATTTTTGTCAGGATGCTGGAGAAGTCTCTAGGAAAGGGTCAAGTGAGGGACTGGGGTTCTGCACGTTACACTGGAGGTGGCCTGTTAGAGGCCTCTTCCTCCTGTGCTCTTCTTCCTCAGTTCCAATGAATCTCAGTTCTGCCACATTTCAGTTGGGGGGAGTATGGAGTTTCAGGCACCATAGGAAGAAAGAAAAACGAGACAGGAGAAAGAAAGGAAAAAGGGTAAAGGAAGGAAAACTGAGGATCTGAGAAAATAAATTAGCAGAAAATAGAAGTACAGAGACAGAAAACTATTCATAATTGTGGAGGTGAATAAAAAAAAATGAAAAAAAGACCCCAGAAAGGTAGAAAAATAGAGTGAAAAGGGGGATGGACATAATTAAGAAGAAAAGGAGGATGAGAGGAGGGAGGAAGAAATTTAGGCAGATAACAAAGCAAAAACTGAAATGCAAAAGCAAAGAGGGACGGACTCCAGAGGGCAGAGGAGACAGGCTCAGCAAGTTAATGTTCCTTCTCATTTATTGGAAGTCTGGTGTCAAAATATTACAAACTAAAAAAAAAAAAAAAGTGACTTCTGTCTTCTTGTTCTATCTAGATAGCTACGATCCTCAGAGGAATCAGGCTGGGAAAAAAAGACCTGGGATAGCAAAACACTCCCTTTCTGCTTGAGATAGAAGCATTAAAGCATTCATACTAGGCTGAGAAGGAGAAAGGGCAGAAAGATGAGTTTTTTTTTTTTTTTTTTTATCACAGCACTAACACTGTATTTTATGCACATTTCTGCACTTACTAGGTATAAAGGATCTACCTTTAGCAGGTAGGGAACATGCTCCTTAGTGGATTCTGCTGCAGTATTTGCCAAATAGACAATAGGCAAAGGGAGTGACAGCATTACAGAGGAGCACTTGCCTGGATTGCCTCGTTTTGTCAACTGAACTATGTTGGTCCCCTATCAGTTGGTGCAGCAGCTTGCCGGAGGAGAATTCCTGGAAACCCAGCTCCATTCCTTCCCCCAGCCCTGCAGCTCATTGCTGCATCCTTACTTTTGCTTGTCAGGCATTTATATAAATAGGATTAACATCTGCAGTTACACTTAGCTAGGTTGCAAATTACACAGGCTATCAAGCCTTGTGCTTCAGGGCATACACTGATTACTCTTGGAGGGGCAAAAATGAGTTTTTCCAATAACAGAATATTGCATGATTGACTGGGGATATTATGGGGCAGAGTGGATTAGCCTTTGCCATCAGTATCAGTTATGTGTCATTACTGCCTTGAAGTACCAGCCTAGGCAAGTCCCTTCTACTCAGGCAGTGCTGGAGGTGTTTGGGCCCAGAATAGCAGGTTTGATTATTAAAAAAGTAGGTGTTTCCTAAACCTGCTATGAAATGTGCTTCCAGCAACTACTTTCCCTGCTACCCCTTGCCTGGGAAGTGTGTGACAAGCCCTGGCCTCACTGGAGGAGCAAGAGCTTCTGCCTTGCCCTCCTGTGACTGCAGCCAGAAATTCCCATTTTCATTACAGGGAATGCAACCCCTCCCACCTCCCTGCCCCCGAGACCTCTGTTTTTCCCTGATTTAGATGATATATCTCTGGCTGAAGTTTCTTCCACTGTAAGCTGAGGATCAAGTCTGCCCTACAGTGCATACGCTGTATCCACAAAACAGCATCCCACAATTTGACTTTTCAGAAACCGAAATCACACACGGGCTCTTGGAGTTCCCCATCATCCCCCTGCTGCTTTTCAGTCAAAGTAAAGGCCATGGCCTACAAAAGCTGGAGTGTCCGTAGCCATTCCTGAGTCTCATGAGACGATGGGGTATCAGTGGAGCATAAGGACTCACTACACAAGGATGCTCGAGGATGCAGAGGGGTTGGGATATCCAGTCGCTCTACTTCCTTTTTTTTTTTTTTTTTTTTTTTAGAAGCAAAGATGAGAACGGACACTGCTGTGTGTAGAAAATCGTGTCCTCTTGGTTTGCTCCAGCCAGCATTTTCCATCCTGCTGAGATTATGACAGATCATTATATTGGCAATGCTCAAGGTGCTCTCTGGACTGTGCATTTTCCTTGAGAGAAAAGTAGACCAGATTTCCAGCCTAGAAAGAGACATTTCTGATGATTTGTGTCCTGAGAATTGGGAACTCATGCCTGAAGGATCTCGTTACTACTAGGCAATTCTCTGTGCATTTATGGTCCTTCCAGATAAGTGTGAAAGAGAACTGAGCTCCACAATAATTCTTTAGTATGTGTAAACAGATTTGTCCACTCTTAACTTTCAGAACATCTCTTTTTTTTTTTGTCTTGGCAGCAAATGATTGTCTCATTTGAATGGAAGTAAAGAGCTAGGATTGACAGAAATCTAAAATAAGAAGCATAATTAGCAGCAAAACTTTTAATTCTCCATTCTAAGCCATTTCTAAATGTGTTGGTACTTATTTATTGAACTTGGCTTGACATTTAGACAGCTCCTTTTAATGCTAATAGGGTTGATTACTACGTTGAATCCTACTGCTTTGAGGAAAGTGCTGCTCAGTATTCAGAGCTGCCAAGTTCCTCCTGCACAAAAATACCTGCCTTTCTTCACAAGAAAGATGCATTATTCAGAGCAAACACATTAAAATAAGTCTATCACCAAAGCCAGGAGTCTGGGACAATGAGGGCTGCACCCTCAGCCTACTGGGGATGTGCAAAGCAGGGTGGCCCAGCCTGGAGGTCCAGCAGGCTTTGCTCTCCCCCACATACAACTTCTCTCCTGGGCCTGCCTCCTTTTGCCACCTGGTTGAAAGCCCATTCCATTCTGTGGATTTTCATTTATTTCAGCAGCATTTGGGTTGAGCCTTCCAAATTTTTCAAGGTGGTTTGCTACAGTGATCTATTGAATTCTTACCTCTTGCATTTCAAGCTTGTGCTTGTCTGGACTCTGCTTTTCTGTAGCTAGGCAGAAGGAGTGCACATGTGTTTCCCAAAGCGTTGGGCCTCTGCACAGCACAGAGCAGGACTGAGGCAAATCAGAGGCCTTGGTGAATGCACCAAGAGAAGGCAGATCTGCCTGGTCCATCTGTGCTTTCCTCCTTGCCCCAGAACATCGGAGGTGTCTCCTCCATCTTTAGGCGTCTGACACTAAAATCACTACATCAAAATAAGCCTCCTGAACTTTCAGTTATGATTGGATGAGGCTAGAAAATCAGGGTCTAGAAATGGTTTTCTTCATAACAACCACCCACAGGTATTCAGCAATGGAACAGGCTGCCCAGGGAGGCTGTGGAGTCTCCTTCTCTGGAGGTCTTTAAAACCCGCCTGGATGCCGCCCTGTGCCACATGCTCTAGGTGTGCCTGCTGGAGCAGGAAGGTTGGACTAGATGGTCTCTAGAGGTCCCTTCCAACCTCGAATATTCTGTGATTCTGTGATTCTGTGTAACGGAGCTGTTCGTGCTCCCTCCTCTGCAGATCGGCCAAACATACAGATGTCTGATAGTCCTCCTATATCAATGTGTATCATCACTATTCCTTCTGGGTTGTTACAAAAGAGCCCAGGTGTCAATAAGAATCGAATTCAGCCTTGCATTTATTTTAAATTAAGTTTTATAAGTGAAAATGGTAGCTTTTCAGGAAGCAAGCATCTCCTCCACATGCCTGAGCAAGCAGTGGATGAACAAGGCTGCCTGGTAAACACTGTGAGTGGCAATAGCCTGACAAGCCTGCCTAGTTTAACAGGCTTTGTCAATGCTGCCGAGCACAAGGAGATTATCATGATCTCAAGAAAAAAGATACTTGGGATCAGTAATTTCCCCCAGGGGGGTGATTATCTTCTAATAGCCACTATCCATCATGCTCGTTTCTTATTGGAAAAAAGGAACAAAGTTACACTACTAGTTTCTATTCATCAGCTGGTAAACAGTCAAGGTTTGGGTTTTAAGGAGATCTTAAACAGGTAAACAAGGACATAAATGTAAAGCAAGTTCTGTTATTAATGCAGCAAATTTTTAGCTAGAATTGATCTTTGCCTACCACATCATCAGAGCGCCCTGATGTTTGTAATTAATTATGGGAAATCTGAAATGAGTCATATTTGGACTGACCATTGAAGCCATTGCTGTTTATTTTCTTTTTGTCACTACACCATCATTTGTCACCAAGAATAATAAGTAGAGCAAGAGCAGTTCTCTCCGAATGCTGCCTTGGAAGGATAGCAAGCAAGGTGACACAAGCCAAGTTGAGGGAAAGGCAAGATGATTTCTGTAAAACAAACCTGTTCTGAAACACAGTCACTGCCAGATCATGCTTTCACTGCAAAATGAAATGTTCATTAAGGGCCTGAATGCAAATAGGATTAGGTACTTTCCTTCATTTTCATCTGCATTTCAGAATGACTTGGCCTCCAACCAAGGAATCCGTGGAAGTAACTTGTCCATGCGGGAGACACGGATTGGATGGGTGTCTTCAGGTCCCAGATCTAGTACTGGAAGGAGCTGGTTTGAATCTGGTTCCTGCAACGTGTGCCTTTTGCTGTATGCCACTGAACCAACAGGGCTCACACAACTTGATGCTTTCCTCAGTCCCTAGAGTCTGACTGAGGTCTGACAGCCACAGGAGGACAGAGCTCACTGTTTTGTCCTCCACACAGGGCCCCAGTGGTCTGCAGAACTTGCTGCTATCATATCTCGTGAGTAAAGGTCACCGCTCTGAAGCAATTGAGCAGATAAACGATATCCTGCTAATTGCAGCTTCCTGATTTCCCCCTGCTGAGAAGCGTAAAGGTTTTTGCTTTGAGGACTAGAGAAAAATGGATCTAGCTCCCAGTGATTCTTGATGGAAATTTGTTTAAGATGGAAATCATGCCTGCGGTGTTTAGGCTGGAATTTCACCAAGTGGCTTTCTCTCTGTGATGTAGGGAAATGCATGAAGAATGATGACAGGTAGCACAAAAAGTCATCCTTGGGGCACATTTAAGCTGCCTTGCCTTTTATGAGAATGACCTAATGCGAAGTGCAGGCCATAAGAATGGCTGCAAAGGTCACCTCAAAAGAGCATCTTAGCCCAGTATCCCATCCTGGACCAAAGTCAGCAGATGCTTAAGAAGAAATACAGAAAGTAAAGCAAACATTTGCTAATATTTCCTCAAATACTCTCCCATCCTCTAGTGATCTGTGACTCAGAAACTTCATGAACTATAGATTATGTCTTTGCACTTAATAGCCCTTGATGGATTCTTCTTCCACTGGTTGGTTTAATCCCTCGTGATCCAATGTAAACTTTGAACATCTGCTGTACCCTATGGCAAGGAATCTTTCTTGTTTATTTTGAACTTGCCACTTAATAGTTACCTTTGATGATCATTCTTTTTTTGAAGAAGAACACTGAAGAATATAAACAGCTGTTCCCTAGTCATGCCACTCTTCCCTTCACAAAATTCTGTCATATTTCTTCTTCAGTCATTTTTCTTCCAGGATAAGAAGGTCTAATCTATTCAGTCACTCCTTGAATGGAGGCCCTTTTATGCCTTTGATCATCTTCAATTGCATTTCTCTGTAACTTTTGTATTTCTTCTATATAATATTTGAGATTGGTGGATCAGGACTGCATAATAGTATTCAAGAGATGGGAGATCGTGGATTTATAAAGCATCATAATGATTTGCTCTGTTTTGCTCTCTACCCCTTTCCTAATAATTCCTAGCTTTCTGTTTGCTTTTTTGATTGCTATTGAGTGTTGAGCTGACATTTGCATAGAGCTATCTATTATGACCTCAAGATTTCATTCTCAAGTCAGCTCAGAGCCCATTATTTTGTATGTAAAGATAGAATTGTCTTTTCCCATGCGTATCACTTTACATTTATCTACATCAAATTTCATCTGTGATTTTATTACCCTTTTATTCAGTGCCGTGGGGTCTTTCTATAACTCTTCACAGTCAGCCCTTTGCTTTGACTATCCTGAATATCATCGGCAAACTTCTCCCACTAGTCACTTCTGTTTCAGGATTATTTATGAACATCTTGAAAGTATAGGGCAGTTTTTAGGCTAATTTAGCTCCTTCCTCTTTGGAATTTGAGGTGCCAGGTGCCAGGAAAGGGAAGAAGTGTAAACATGCAAATTCTTTGGATAGTGATGGGAGAAGAGTAAGTGCTTCATGGGAAGAATAGCAGCGTGATTAAGCAGGGCACCTCCTTCTCCCTGTTGCACAAATAGATGAGGGGGATGACGCAGCATGCTGGAAAATGTGGTTTTGACATCAAAAATATGAGACCAACAGGAGACTCCTGGGTCTCCTTTTCTCCTGCAGAAGCTGGAGCCTTGTGCAAATAGGTGTACTGAAGTCACAGGGCCCAACGAGGGCAGGGAGGAGCAGAATGGTGGAAGGCAAAGCCTCTCTGTGGGAAAAACTGTACACAAAATCATTGGCTGCTGTTTTTAATGAACAGGAATTCATTGGTGATTTTTCCTTACTAGAAGCCCTGGACGAGTCTGTTGTCTTAGCACAAAGAAGTCCAAGGCCAGAGTCAGAAGATGAAATGCTGTGCAGGAAACACGTGCACGAGAGTGACTGGTTCCTGAATACCCTCTACATGGACAAGGTGAGGTCCTGCTGCAGAGTAAGAATGAAAAGGCCTGACATCTAGTGAGAGGAACCAGGAATTTCTGTGACAAGCACTTTTTTGTTGTTTTCTCTCGTGGAATCACAGAATCATAGAATCCTTAAGGTTGGAAGGGACCTCAGAGGTCATCTAGTCCAATCCCCCTGCACACACAGGGTCACCTAGAGCACATGGCACAGGGCTGCATCCAAGCGGGTTTTAAAGATCTCCAGAGCAGGAGACTCCACAACCTCTCTCAGCAACTTGTTCCAGGGCTCTGTCATGCTCACCATCAAGAAGTGTTTCCTTAAGTTCCTGTGGAACTTTTGGCGCCTCAGCTTGTGGCCATTTCCTCTAGTCCTGTCGCTGGCCACCACTGAAAAGAGGCCGCCCCCTCCTCCTCACTGCCTCCCTTGAGGTATTTATACACGCTGATCAGGTCCCCCCTCAGCCTTCTCTTCTCCAGGCTGAACAGGCCCAGCTCCCTCAGCCTTTGCTCATAGGGCAGATGTTCCAGGCCCCTGATCATCCTCGTAGCCCTGCGCTGGACTCTCTCCAGCAGCTCCACATCCCTCTTGTCCTGGGCAGCCCAAAACTAGACACAGTCTCCAGATGTGGCCTCACCAGGGCTGTGTATAGGGGGACAATCACCTCCCTTGACCTGCTGGAGACACCCTTCTTAATGCACCCCAGGATCCCGTTGGCCTTCTTGGCCACCAGGGCACACTGCTGCCTCATGGTCATCTTATCATCCACCATGACCCCCAGGTCCTTCTTCATGGAGCTGCTCTCCAGAAGGTCAGTCCTCAGCCTGTGCTGGTGTCCGGGGTTATTCCTCCCCAGGTGCAGGACCCTGCACTTGCCCTTGTTGAACCTCATGAGGTTTCTCACCGCCCAGTCCTCCAGTCTGTCCAGGTCCCTCTGGATGGCAGCACAGCCCTCAGGGCTATCAGCTACTCCTCCCAGTTTGGTATCATCAGCAAACTTGCTGAGGGAGCACTCCAGCCCTYCATCCAGGTCGTTAATGAATAAGTTGAACAGGACCGGACCGAGGACCGACCCCTGGGGGACACCGCTAGCTACAGGCCTCCAACTGGACTCCCCGTCACTGACTACCACTCTCTGCACCCTGCCCCTGAGCCTAATCCACCTCAGGAGGAGGGCCATCTAGCAATGCTGCCTATCCGAGGGTCTTAGCTCACCCCTCTTCACACTGAGCACCCACCATATTTGAGAAAATAGCAAGAAGGATGAAAATCTTCCATATCTGAACATACTTTTCACAGATCTCATCCTTGGAAACCTCTGTCACCTCCATGTTCCTCTGAGAGGATGAAATTGCTCCTTATGGCTGAAGAGCACTTCTTTCCACTCAGGGTTAAGGCAACTTTATTCAGGGGTAGAGGCTGGAAAGTTGCTGCTGTTACTTGTAGGTAAAAGAAATAATGCTGAGTATCAGCTGAGAATCTAAGGCAAGCCCTAAATAAATTCATTGAGGCAAAAAGCAAGGGGAGAAATCAGACAACTTCAGCGGACAGTTTTCCTTACCTAGGATACAGAAAAGCAGAGGGCTAAGCATATCAATGGAGCAAACACGAGCTTACGGTCGCACTGGATGTGCACCTGACTGATTGGATCTCTAGTTGTGAGAAGTTTTGAGATGAGCCTGTTCCCTCCTCCCCAGCCCTAGTTGTTTCATTTTGTTATATTTAACGTCAGGCAGTGTGTAATTTGCCAGCTCTCTGGCGAGATGGCTTTCAGAAAAGACACACAGCTTTCAAAAAACTATTCTCTTGAGGTGGTTTGTCAGTCCTGAAGCTGTGAGTGGTTTCCAGAAAGAAACATAATGTCAAAAAAAAGGCTGAAAAAGCAGCGGTTCTCCCCTTTAACAGACTTAAACTTGACCATCAGGAAAACACGATCCATTTGATAAGAAAAGGGCAAGTGTCAGTGACTCACACATAACTTGTCTCCTGAGCTATGGCAAGACCAGTATCTCTTGGCAGGAAATGTGCAGGTCCATGATCTAGCATCTTCCTTACTCCAGGCTTGTTTCATAGGCTCTAAAAAGCCAAAAAGCTTCATAAGGAAGCTCTTCATTGAGTGGAGAATGTACTCAACCTTTTCAACATAAAGGTGAAAGTTTCCATTGGCTCATGTCCATTTTTGTGTCTGATCTAGGAAGTAAAGCAGTAGAGTTCAGCTTTGGGCCACGTGGCTCTGTACTGAGGTCCCCAATGTGTGGTCAGGACCTGCCCCTGACACACTGAGACAGTTTGGTTCAATTCTTCTGCTCTTGGTCATGCTGCTCTTCAGTGATGGGAACTCCTCCGGCATGTTGGAGGGTTTCAGATGTGGATTCTTCTGTAACTTGCATTTTCTTCACAGTTTAAGTGAAAGGGGAATTTTTGACTGATAGACATAAAAACATAAATATCCAAAGTGAATTTTTCTCTCTGGATGGATGGGACGAGCCCTTGAGAAAAGAGGGCATGAAAACTGGTTGAGAGGAGTTTAATATAAGGATTTTGTTTGCCTGCAGAGCAGTAGCATCAGTCAGGAAGAATACAATAAAGATAAAACATGGAGAAGACTTCCCCGACAAATTTGGCTCATAACAAAAAGAGTAATAGGCTGTATCAACTGCCCCAAAATCACCTGCAGATTGAGTCGGTTCACGTAGGAAGACGTTTCTTCTCTACTAAAAGTCATTCCTTGGTCACAACCCTTTAGTGTCACAACCTCAAATTGCTTCAAGTTATAACACAACCTGAGAGAAGTTGCTACTAAAAACTCCCCATTTCATTCAATCAAATGGTCGGATGGTGGGTCTTTGCCTTTCTCTTTCAACTGGAGGTCTTTGGGAGAAATGAGAAATAAATAATATCCCATCTCACCACTGGAAAGGCAAAGAAGGGTTGTTTTCAGGCCTCGGTTGTAATCAGAGGAGATCCTATGTATAAGCACTAGTGGCAGCTGCCTGTGTAGTTGGGCCTGCACAAGCTTGCAATGCATACGAATAAAAGCAGAGTACACTGCAAAACTGGACACGTGTCATGCATCAGCCACGGTGGTTTCCAGCTTGCACTGGGGCTTGTCAGTCTGCTAACCCTAACATGGGCAAGATGCAGTGTCCTCAGGTTGCACCTCTCCTTACAGGGGAAGGCAATGGGACAACTGCTGTAAATACTGCACAGAGGGAAAGAGCTTCCAAAGCTAAACCAAATTGAAGCCACATTCTGAGCAAGATAGATGGAATACATCTTGTTTTTAATATAGGTTTCTAAGAGTTTTTTTAAGAAGAAATAGGAATTGTGCTTTAAAACTCAAGTTTTATATTGCTCTTTTTTTCTGCAACTGTCTAGGCATTTCATAGGATATTAAGAGAACCATGAGAACCAAATTATCATGTTGTTCACATATTCTCATGAAAATTCGTTAATACTTTCCATTGAGCTCTTAGGAAGAAACAGTAATTGTGAAATCTGCATTTATTTGGGAGCTTAAGTAATTACATATAACTTCAGTTTGCTGACATACATATAGTGATGAAAAGGAAGTGTGGGGCATCCCTAAAAGCAGTGGGTTTGTGTACTTCTATGGGAACAGTCTAGATTTGCACCAAATCTAGATGTCTAAAAAGTCTAAAATGCATTTCTAAAAATGAAATTGACAGTGAGTGTCTTCTGTGTTTTAAGGACAATATCTTACCTGAAGTAGCTACAAGGTGCAAATTTTGTAGTGGTCCTGAAAAGCCAGTACCAACAGTGGTGGATCTGAAGGAACAACCGCATGAAAATGTGAGTAGTCTACACTATGTAGTCTGCACTATGAGCAGTCTTGACAATATTGCAGCAGGAAAGCTAGTACAGTAACATGGGCTCTTAATCCCTAAAATAAAGCAACCTAACTGTCAAGTAATGACAGAGTAGTTAGTGATCATGGGAGAACAAAGGCCCTGAGGAAGATAAGATGCTTTGATCAAATGAAATATCTGAAAGAATCAATGTAGGGTACCTTTCCTCCTTTGGGTTCATGCTGGCATGAAAGGAGCATGACAAGACAAGATTACACCCAAATTTCACCTGGGAAGGTCCATGGTGAAAGCAGGGAGCTTCTCTAATCCAGTGCTAAGATGCAACATGTGAAACCCCTGTCTCTTGTGCCCTTCCGATGATCATTTTGAGAACATGGTCTTTGTAAAAGATGCCAGGTCCTCTTTCCCCTCATCATTCAGTTTTCCTCCCTGTGGGCAGAAGGGACACTGCACCCTGTGCACTTGGAAAATACCCCAGAGAGAAAACTCCCTTCCAGATACCACAGTGCTAGCAAGTGCCCAAAAATGAGTGGCCAACTGTAGCCAAAGTCAGGGAGAAAAAGGGGAGGGCAGTAGATTTAGAGGAGCTAAAGCTGTTCAGGATGAGGAGAGAGGGGGATGGCCATGGGGACAGTGCCATCAGGATAGAGGCATTAAGTGTCCAGAGGATTGTCCAGGGGGCACCAAGAAAATTCAGTCACATTTAGGCGGAGATTGTGGAATATTAGGGAAGGAGGTGGAATAGCACGTTGTGAGCTTGGGTCTCCTGGAGGTGGATGCAGATCTCTAGTGTAGACCAGCAATTTTACCACAGCTACATGGGTCCTCAGCAGATAGGGCCTGTCTGGCTCATCTTGCCCATCTCATCTCAAATGAGAGCTGAGTTAGAAGGTCTAAGCTCTGCCCAGTGCCTTGCCAGAGCAGCCACACGACATCCTCACATGTGCTGGGCTTTGCAGTTCTTCTGCTGTAGGAGCTATAAGGAAATATTCGATACTGTGATCCAAGAGCTGATGAATGAAGATGATATACAGGAAGAGATTGACATAGCTCCTCATCCCCACCGCTCCCAAACAGAGCTGCGAAGCGACATTAAAGCCGAACTGCTGCGACAGTAAGAGATCGGAGGAGACTAACCTGAGCTTAATAGTGGGAAGAGGGAAGCCCTTGTTACCAGCTGTCTTAATTCCAATCTCAGGGAACAGTGTGGGAACCTGCTGGTTATGTCCCACAGCAGGGCATGTGCATGGACAAGAAGTGGGGTATCTGATGTCAGGCCTGCAATGGTACCACTGACAAAAAAAAATGTCACCTGCCTCCAGGCAGAATGTGCTCAGGAGGCAACAGCACTGAATGGGGCCTCACTTAAATGTGCAGCAAGGCGGTTCAGTGCTGCCAGGGCAATACTTGTCCCCTGTTCCTCATACAGCTCATCTTTGCTAAGGAGTCCTTAGAGAGGCATTGGTGGGGCTTGAAGAGGAGAAGTCAGAACTGAGTGCTCAGAAGTCATCAGCTCCTTCGTCTCTGTGATTTTCCCCTTGGAAGTTTGACACTTGCACGTTAGGAAGGTCCCTAGGGAAAGAACAGCACTCGTACTTTCCCAATTGTTTGAAAAACATGTTTCCAATTGGATTCCCAGCTGAGCTTTCCTTCCCAAAAGACTCCAAACACATTTGACTCTGCTCTGGGCCTCCCCCACACTGCACAGCCCCTGCACCACCTAAGCCATTTTGGCCCTTTCGCACAGGAGGCTTGTTGGACATGAACATGATTTTCCTTTGCCCTCCAAGGCTGCCCAGTGGGCATAGGCCAGGATTGAGCTCCTCTTTAGCCTTCTGGGAAAGGGCAGGCCCTGGGGAGCACCTATGTGGGGCAGCGGCTAAGTCACAGCAGCTGCACCATGGTGGGCACCTAGGGACTTGTTAGGCCTCAGGAGGGACAAGCTTCGCAAGGCAGGCAGAAGACAAGCTATAACACCTGAGGTATTGTCTTTCATTGCTGTTTTCCCTTTTCTACTACTGTGTTGGTCCTCAAGGGTCTGATGTGTAAGTGCCTGAGTAACAACCTAACAAAAATTTCCACGAGTGAAGAGTAGTAAAAAAAGGCCTGAATGCTACTAAGGTCTTATATAAGGTCTCCAGATAGAATTTGAGTTGAGACTTTTAGGTAGGGTCTGGCTTCAGGTTGCACGTGGAACCAAGCACAAAGGGGGCTTTATGCTTATGGATTAGGAGAGTAAATATTATCACAACCAAAACAGTGTATATGGTGGGTAGCTCTCAGCCCAACCTTCCAATCAAGCCGAATTACATCATCAGAGAAGAGAGCAGGACTCAGGCACCTGATGTAACTGATGCAACAGGGTGTCCCACCACACGTGTGGATAGGATGAACCCATGGAAGCTTGGGTTCATCTCACCTAACATGCACTTCTTGCAAGCAGATTCCCAGGCCTTCATGGGTCACAGGCAGCTCCCTTGGCACCTAGGGCTGAGAAACAGACATCTCTACTGCACAGTTCATCAGACTTGCAATGAGAAGAATCTCCCATTTCTCTTCTTAGCCTATAAAAGCTGCCTATGGTGACAAACTCATATGCAGACATCTGCATTTCTCTAGATGAATACTTTTGATATGGCATCCCATTATATTCTTTTCTCTTAGATTATGTGGGAAGTATCATTCACCAACAATTTGTTCTTAATTTTAACTTCCAATTTTTAAACCATAGGTTAAGTATGGAAGGCTTTGAGAACTTCAGGGAAATATTTCAGCGGTATCTGCAATTTGCAGCCTGTAAGTACATTTGCTGGTGCATTATTGGAACAGCTGGGTCTGATTTGGCACTAAAAGCACATGTTAGCATCAGGGCATCCAGGGGAGAAGCAAAACCAGTAGCCCTTCGCATAACAAAAGTTATGAGAAAACCATTTAGGAGTGGCCAGGGACCTTTCTAAATGCTCAAAACACAGGTCTGGCCATAGTTCCCTGTCTGTGAATGTTGTGTTCTCCATGCTTGTTTCCTGGCTTGCAAGAGTTGTTTCCTACTAATGAACAAGATTAACAAGGCCACATTTAGCTCATCCTTTGCTGTAAGCAGTTCCCAACTGCCTGTGGAGTGGCCTAGTTTCACAGCCTTAGGCAAAGATAGCCCTTACTTCCCTTAGGAAAACCATCCTACCCACTGCTATTTAGGTTAAATTTCCCCTCAAACAAGACAAAAGACACAGAGTCCTCAATCTCCCCCTCTGTTAAAGGAGGTAGGACACACACACTCCATGCAGCACTGCTCCTCGTACACCACCACCAGAGCTCCTGCTGCACGTGGGCCCTCAGACACCAGCAGGACAAGGACGTCCCCATCCTGGGCCCTTCGCTGTGACATGTCCAGCAGGGTATTTTCCAGCAAACTACCCCTCATTCCCCCACACATCAGGTCAAGGAATGCCTGATTCCTTGCCCCACAGGAATTGCCCCACAGCGTGATGGTTTCCCACGCACATGGCACTGCAGGCCATGGTCCTGCTCCATTGCCCAAGGTGGGACTCCAGTCCAGATTGGATGTGTCTGCAGTTTCTTAGTAGTCCCACAGTCAATTACTGGCGGCTCTTGGGTTCCGTTTTCCCTTGTCTGTTTTGTTTGTGGCTCCTGCCTTTACACGTTACTCCCTCTGCACCGAAAAGCTCCTTGATCAGGTGGCATTAATGAAGCAGATGGTCTCACATTCCCACACCCTTCCACCCTCCTTCCCCCAACCCAAATAATCCAAGACACAAAGCTTAGAGAACCAGAGCACTTTCCTGTACACCAACCTTCTAAAACTGTTTCAGGGAGCAAGATTTCATTCAGGCTCTCAGAAGAAAACGAATACACTGTTAGACCAGAGGCTGATCCTTCCAAGAAGCACAGACCAACGTCACCGCCTCCAGAAGACCTTCTTGAGCTGGACCATGATTTCGTTGCAGAGCACCTAAAGGTGTGTGGTAGCCCATGGGATCTCCTCTTGTTGCTTGTCATGCAGGGCATAAACGGATTATATGGACAGCTGTGTCGTGTTGGGTGACCCCATGAGAGACAAGAGGATCCCCCCAAGCACATTTAGATGTTTTGCAGTATGTGGTGGTGACACAGGAAGACTAAGGAGCCTCTGAGGGACAAGGCAAACCTGGCAGTGCTGCCAGGGCTGCCCCAGCCCTCCCTTCCCCCGGAGATTTCTTTCCTTCTCTTCTCCTCTTCCTCTCTTCTCCCTCTTTCCTTCCTAACCAGAACGCATTGCAGGCATACAAGAAAATTACCTATGATTTATCACACAATCAGTGATTTTGTTGGCTTTTTTATTTCACACATAGAAGCGCATTACACTGCTTTCCCCTCCTGAAATATAGGGGTAGCAAATCCTCCTGCCTAGCACTGTCTTTTTAGCCTCGTAAAAAGCCTGAAAAATGAAAGCATGAACAAGATTGCTGGTCTGTTGCTGCTTTGTTCCCCTCCCTGCCTTACAACCAGGACGTAGCTTTTATCTGTTTTGCAGAGCCAAAATGCACATCTTCAGGTTATAAGTCAGTGCCACAGTTTTGTCTCAAATCTGTCACTTGGTGTGTAAGAAATGCCTCCACGTGGGAGCTTGGGAGCTGCTCTGGACAAGTCCCTCTCATTCCCACAACAGAGAAAATGGGAGCCAGGCCCCTTTCTGCACAGGATCATTAGCGGTTGCTTCTAATGATGATGATAAAGGCAAACAAACTCCCTCTGCTTCCCCGCTCTCAAATGAAACAAATCCATTTTCCTAGGAGAGGCAGACGGCCACGCTCCTCATTCCTATTAGAAAGCATTCAACCCAGCTCCCTTGTAATGCTTGGAGCTAAGCCCTTAGTAAAGAAATGTTCCTGTTTTTCCTGCAGTGGCTTGTCAGTACATTACAGGATAAATTACCTGTGTGTCTGATGGGAAGAGGGCTCTCGGCAAATTATATCATCACAGAGCAGCTAATAGCATAAAATATGGAGGGTTGGGCGTCATACGTGAAATGTGGAAACACAGAACTGAGGGCGAAGTTTTCCTCAGTTATTTAAAAGGCTTTGATTAACAAACAAGCAAATAAACAAAGCATTAGGTTGGGTGGGAAATGTGGAGGCCCTTGTTGACAGGGCTCTCAGCTCGGCACCACCGAGGGAAGCTGCATGGTTGGAGGAGGAGCGGGCAGGGAGCCGAGGCAGCCCCTGCCGCCCTGCTTGGTTTTCTCCTGGGGTCAATGCTGCTCCTGATGCTTGTGGAGATGTATCCGCACCACAGGAGCTCACCCACCACGTCTGCTTTATCCCCACAGCACTGCCACCCTCTCGAGCCCGTTACAAGGTACTACCCTGATGGACAGACATTTCTTCTGCTTCTTCCAGATGGAACTGGTCAGGTTTAGTATCCAACAAGAACTTCATGCAGGCAGTGGGGGCAATCACAAGAATGCCCTACAAGTGGGTGGCTTTCAGCACAGGTTTCCTCTTGGGTTGCCCAGGCTCGGGTTATTTCCCCCAAATACTTTCCCACAGTATTTCCTCGCCAAGCGTGCTTTTTGGTGGGCTTTAAACGAGCTCTTCTTTCCTTAACCCCCCCGTCAGCTACCCCTCGGGCAACATGGCCCTTCTGATCACGTATAGCCAGGGGTCTCGGTTCACGTACTTCGTCCTGGAGGACAGCAAGTGCATGGGGATTAGAGGCTTCTTTGGGAACTGCGGGCGCGCAGCGTGCTGCCACCCCAACGGCCACATCTGGTAAGTGCCAGCCCCCGAGGGCCAGCCCGCTTCAGTGTTATTTTCATTTTAGGGTTTTTTCCATGTGAAAGGCATGAAAAGAACTGAGAAAAAGCCCACCAGAACGATGGGGTTTGTAGAGCTGCATCAAGGCAAGAGGCAGATACAGAGTCCAGGCTCTTCATCTGTTTTAGCAGCTGTTCACCTCTCTGAAGACATCTGACATCCCTTCTGTTATTCGAGTGGCCCAAGTCTTTCCACTTTTTCCCCTTGGTCATATTTTCTAGGCTTCTTTGGTGGCTCTCTGCAGCCTGGCTGGTGTGAGTCCCTCCAGTTCCCTGGGACTTTGTCAGGGGGAAGTGGACTGCTCCATCCAGGAGTGCTCCATCCCACTTGAGAGGGACGTGCATCTGGAGACCACCGAGCCTTGTCTGGGGTTAGCCACACAACGACTCAGATGACAGCTCAGGAAGAAGGGAGCTTCTTTGCAGTCTTCTTAGGAAGTCTTCCCAGGCAGCCACTCTCAAAGAGCACGAGCTGATTTGTAGGAGAGGGGAAATTGCAACAGCCAGAGTCGTTTAGCCTGATGTCAGCACTGCTCTTGGTTTGTTTCTCATACCCAGCATCTGCTCCTGACTGTAAGAATGACTTAGGTGACTGACTTCTTGCAGTCAAAGTGTGATGTGCAGCGATCGATGTCTTTTAGTAGAAACTGATGCTTTTTGAGCCCTTGGGATCTGAGTTTGACCCCCTACTTTTCCCTCCAAAGTTTCCCTTTGGAAAGCCAGGGACTGGAAGAATCAGCAAACCGTTTCTCAATTTTACAAGTCCTCCCCGTGCTGAGACTAATTAGTGGGTGTATTAAATGTTTAACTGGCTCTTACAAATCATTGTAAATAGCCTTTGCAATAACACTTCCATTAGACGGCAGCAGCCCTGCTGTTTGCCTGCAGACACCCTGGTCCTTCATCCATCACAAAGAGCACAGTTTTTACAATGCTGCACAAAAGACATTCACAGCAGCAGCAAAAGATCATCGCCGCCCCCACCAGTGCCTAACGCCATGGTTTGCATTCCTTCCTTCCTTCCCTCTGCTCTTACTATTCCTTTCTTTTATTCCTGCCGCCTGTCTCTCGCTCACGTCCTCTCCTCGGGAAAGGTCTCCATGATTTCTTGGAGACACAGCAGCGCTTCCGTGTCTTCTTAGGGAGTTTCAACCCATCAGTAGAAAACCAATGGGAACCATCTCCTTGGGGCTTCTGCCCTTACCTCTCACTCTCTCAGCATCTCCTGGTGGGTACTAACTAAGAGCAGTGCTGAATAAATGATGATTCTCATGTATTTCCAGAAAATACCCAATATCTTTATTTAGAAGAAAACACAAATTAATTAAAATTTGTGATTATATAAATTAATTAAAATTAAAACACAAGCAGCCAGTGGGTAGACCACCTCTCCCACACTCCAACAAATCCAGGCATGTCCTCAATTTGGGCTCCGGCCTATCAAAGCTGGGACGTTCCCTGTTTTTCCCCTTCCATTTCTTCCAAGCTGGAGCACCTGGCAGTGCTGGGGGAGCCGCTGGGGGAGGCTGAGCCGCTCGCAGGCATTTGCTGCACTTGTCAGGGCCCAAGAGCAGCACAGTGAGAATCAACTTCCTTGCGCTTGGAGAGGGAAAATTCAAAGTGACACATGCAATGAATGATAAAAATTCCCTGTCTTCTGCATCCCAGGGATGCTTCAGCTCCCAGAGCCATCACTCCAAGCTGTCACTAGATGGGGAGTATTGATTTGTATTCTTATGTTGTAGATACGGACTATTTCCCCCCTGACATGCATGCCCTTAGTTTCTCTTGTTCTCTGAGAAGGCCTTCTCCTGCATTCAGCCACACATACATGTAAATAATCTGTTTTTAGTAGAAAGGTTGCCAGAGCATAGGAAGCAACCACGGCTGGCTGTGTGACAGCGAAAACTTTTAGAAGACATAAAAGTGCAATAGGAAGGAGAAACACACCAACATGCTCAGCCCATGCTCTGCTTGATGATTTTCTTTGCCCTTCCGGGACTTCGTGTCCTCTAAGGGCCAAACCCTCTCCTGCCCTTTGCTCAGGTGCAGCCCCACTGCCAAGGCCTCCCTCATTGAGAGAGGTTGACCCTGCACCCTGGTGGGTCAGAGAGTCACAGCATCACAGACTGGTTGGGGTTGGAAGGGACCTCTAGAGATCATCCAGTCCAACCCCCTGCTCCAGCAGGGACACCCAGGGCACGGGGCACAGGGCGGCATCCAGGCGGGTTTGGGAGATCTCCAGAGAAGGAGACTCCACAGCCTCCCTGGGCAGCCTGTGCCAGGGCTCTGTCACCCTCACAGGAAAGAACTTTTTCCTCTCAAAAGAGCACCAGGGACATGTATCAGCCACACATTCAACTTCTTAACTGGCCTAGGAGACCACAGTTGTGGTCAAATGAACTTCTCCTCTCTCAGGCTGGGGTTTCCAGGTCACCAAAGCGCAATCCGTGATGCCATGGGGAGCCCCAGGGCAGGCCTACCGCATGAGCCCCGCTCAAGGGCGCTCAGCTCCCTCGGGTGGCTGCTCATGGTGGGGTCCCCTTGGCCCAAGGCTCTGCCTTTGTCCCCAGGGTGGCCCTGGATCTCTGCGCCGGCTTCTGCTTTCACCAGGAAGGGACAAGCCAGAGGCGCTGGAACTGGTGGGCGCTCAGCCCCCACGTTCACAGCCCTCCTTTCCAGACCATCTTCATGAAGCTGAACGCCCACATCACCGTGGAAATTATGGCTCAGGATCAGATCTGCTTAACGTTCAGCAGCCACAGCGACCACATCCGCTTCAACGTGGGCGCCCGCCTCAAGGTGAGTCCTCCTCGCGCCCACACGGCCTGGCCAGACCCCATTCACCACACAGGAGCGCGGCCTGGGAGCAGCTCAGCTGCAGAACGCCAGGGTTGCTGCAGCTGCTGAAGGAGATTGAGGTGATTGACCACAAATTTTCAGGTGGAAAAAAAAAAAGGGGGGGGGGGGGGGAAATCCACCATTTCGCTCAAAAGCAAATTTCCTGCCCCTGTGAATCTTAATGAAATTCCCTTTCAGGAAAGCATTTAGATAAGATTGAAATGTTGTTGCTGAAGGGTAAGAACAGCACATCTCACAAATTCATTTTGAAACGCTGTTTCTTTTCAAAACATTTATATTAAATGTCAATACAAACACAAAGCTCCTGATTTTATCTAAAAGCGTTTCACTTAACGTGAGCGGGGCATGCGGCGCGCGGAGCGGCCAGGTCCTTCGGCATTTGCTGCCATGCGAGTTTCCAAGCCCTGACCCTTCCCTGTGTCCGCCAGGGCTCAGCCCTGGTGCGACTGTCCCAGCGTGTTAGTGTCCAGCAGCCGCATTCCCGCTGGATGAGGACACAAGCGGTCGGCTCCGGAACACCCCAGGTCGCTGGAGCACATGGGATGCCCCGGAGCTCACGGCCTCTCCGGAGCATCGCTGCTCTGCTCTTTAACCTGGGCCTTTTTGCAGCTGAAGGACCCCGAGACGAGACACTTGCTGAAAAGGCCAAGCGGCAGCGAGGAGCTCTTCCTTGAGGCCAAACGGAGCGAGCTCCGGAGCCTGCTCCTGGAAATACAAAGGAGGGTGCACCGCTTCTGGCACCCCCTGCCCCGCTGAGCTCGCGCCTTTCACCATCCGCGGGAAGGGCCCGAACGGAGACACGGGGACGCGGAGCCAGCACCTACGGTGGCACCTCAGATTAGCTCTTCCTCTGCCAAGGCAGCGGCAGCCGGTCGGCTTTGCTGTGGAAATAAAGCTCCCTTTTTCCAGCTCACAGTGCCCATCTTGGTGTAGATGGAGCCCTTGCAGCACGAAGCCCTCGAGGGCTGCAGGGATCCAGGAGGGCTTGGGGGCTGGCGAGGGCTCCCTCCTACACCTGGAGGGTGACGGGACCACCTAAACCCGAACCCGAGGCACTCAACCTGCCTCAACCCAACACACGCACGGGATGACGGGGCTGGAAACACAGCAGCCTGGGTGCCGGGAGCTGGGTGATCCAAGAGCGAGCAAGGACGAGAGCCGTTCGGGAAGCCCCAGCCTCGGCCCGGGGTCGGGCTCCTGTGCCACACAGCACCTGGCTCCTGCTGGCAGGGACACCCTCGTTCATTATTTCAAATTTACCCCTGGGGGTTTCCTTAGGGTGTTAGGGGGGGGTTAGGACAGGCCGTAGCAGAGCCCCAGTAAGAGCCTAGTGAGGGTACAGGGAACAAGCCCCCGGGGGATAAGATCCTGCAAGAGCAGGTGCCAGAACCACAGTATCTGTAAGGAGAAATCCCGGGCGGGTGAAACTGGGGCCCAGCAGGCACCCCCAACCACTGGCAGAACCCCCAACACCAGGGGGTTCTGCCACCGACACCCGAGTTGACTCCCAGCGACGGCCCCTCGTTAAAGCACAGCCTTGCAGAGCAGCTCTGGCCGATTCCCCCTAACCTAACGGCAGCAAAGAGACCATTCAGGCACACAGCATCTTTTTTTTTTTTCTTTTCAGTAAAGAAAGTACAAATTTCCTTTTATTATAACCATAAAGAGGGGTTACTTTAACAATTAGCTGTACATTCAGCAGTCAGGTATTTATCTGTACTAAATAGCTCTCTTACTGCTAAAAAGAACATTTTTTTCCTTAACAAAGCACCGTGTGCTGATAGGACATTTATTGGTTTTGTACTACAGTTATGTTGACAGAGAAGCCTCAGGATACAGAATAAAGCTTTACTCTTGGACCAAAATAGGAGGCAACGTTTTTATTTAAAAAAATTAAAAACAGCAAGTTTCTAGTCCGATAATATAAAGCATCTTAAATTAATCTTTTGAAAGTATTTACACTATTTGTAAAGTAAATATCTGAAACTGTACATGTTTAAACAAATGTTCATTTAGCAAACAGGCTGTATAAATTGACTGCCCTTCTCACCCTCCAGGCAGCTGCCCTAGGGCTGCCTGGCTGCTCCGGAGGCCACAGACGCCAAGCACAGGAGACGCTGCCGTGGGCTTCATCCTTCACACCTTTTCTGTACAACGTAGTAAATCAGGCGTAATTCTGTACAGCCATCATGCAACCCTTCTGTAAAACTTTATAAAAACCTCAAATATACATATATTACAAGGCATTGGACATTATTTTACAGCCTATATTTCTACATGAGTATAAAGAAAGGGTAAGTTTTCTTCCTCGTTAGTTCCTTTAGTGAATGTTAAGGAGCTTTGGAAGGTCCTGTAAGTACCATTTATGTACCTCAGCACTGCTGCTGCAACACTTCTCAAGGCAGCTCTGAATCCTAAGGTTGTAGTCTCCAGCCATCTGATTCATAACAGCAAAACTCTTGTTTCAAAACACCACTGATGTGCACAAAAATTTCAACATAATTCAAACTACAGATTTATAAGCAAGTTTTTTAAAAACTGCCATGTAAGTCACCATATTTTTCCTTTGCAGTGCTCACAAGAAGCTCACACCCCAAGATACCCTAGAGCTGCTTTTAATGTCTCATTCTATGAGTGAAAAGCATTCAGCAATCAGCTTGGTGAAACACAGGACTAACTGATGCACGTTGGACACGGTGCACTGTTTACCAGCTGCTGAGCATTTCTCTTCTCCCCTTACTTACCGCGGTGATTTGAGGGTGCTGTCACATTCCTTTCGGACATCCCATTGCCCATATCAACCTTTATTCCAGCGCACGAGGCCCAGTCCCAGCCCTGCTCCAATGGGACCAAGCAGGGCCACACACCCCTCATCTTGGGTAAGGCAGAGAAAACTACCACGAAACTCGAGCGTACCAAGAACCTCAAGGCTAAGCCTGAACTTCGCTGCAAAGCACGTGAAAACACAGTTCCCTCAGAAACAACAGCAATTCCATTGCACAGCTTTCCGTGGCAAATCTCAGGCAACTGAGATTCTTTACCTGGAAGAGGTTAGAGTGTCAACCTGCAGGTCGGACCTCACGAGCTCCCAGTCGTGACAGTACAAAAAGAATCGGGTGTTTCAAGAAGCTCAAGGACAATAAAGTCTTCCCAGCTAACAACCTCCAGATTGTGTTCAAGCACATAGTGGATTACCAGGATTCTCAGAGGGGTTTAAAGGAAAAGAAAAGGAGCGTGCCTACCAAAACCAAGTTGACAAATGCAACGTGTTTATCTGGAAGCCTCGCAAATACCTTCTCCCTTCTCCATTTGATTTCCTCCACTTTATTTACAGTGTGTCTTTGAAAAATACTTCTTTGCACTGCATACATGAGTTTAAAAACAAATCCTTTCTTGTTTTCCTTTACACAAACAAATGAAAAAAAAAGCAGAATCCCAACCTGGAAGATCTCTGTGACTGGCAAAGGCAGTAACTGAGCTCGCACAAGAATGACCAGCAACGGGTTTTTTGCATTGTTATTTCTCTCTCCTCATCAAATAGCAAGACCTTCAAGGAAGCTACAGAACTGATTTCTCCCCCTCCACCACTCAATCAGAGTCAAGCAGCCTAGAGAGTTTTGATGCAGACTGGGCTGCACAGTGGGATCCTTCGCTTACTCCGACCACAGCCCTTGGCATCCCCTTCCCTGCTTGTCCTTCAGCTGAAGTTTACTTGAAGCAGCCCCACTCTTGGGCTACTTGGACATCGACAGAAGTAAGTTCACCTGAAAGACAAAGTGAAAGTCCACGTTAGACATAACAGCTAACATCTGATGTCTGATATTTCAGACTCTAAAAAGAAATCCTAAGAAATGTCTTAGGATTTACAGAAACTAGGAGAACCATCACAAGATGACTGCCCAAAATTTTCCATCATCTTCCTACTCATAGGCTTCCTAACAGGCAATTCTTGACCATGCCAACCAGTCCTTTCAGCAGGCACAACCTACTGCACTGAAGCTTCTAGCAAGGGAGTCATGAAAAAAATACATATGCTGGCAAAAAAAAAAATGACAGTAGTTTTTTTCACCACTATTTAAAGCATATTCAAGATCCTTCACAATGTTTGTTTCCCTACAAATTACAATATGGTCTTCTATTCAGTTTGTTGAAAAAAAAATGACTCTAAGGATCAACAGATAAACAGTGTTAAAGGAAGCCAACTCCTCTGAGATACTCCCACCTCCTTCAGATGCATCTCCTCCTCTTTGGGCTCCACAACAGTTATCACGCTGCTCTGTCACTACATTCACTGCAGAAAAACTCCTCTTAACATTATCCATTTCAATCCTGGCAAATCTGGATAGTCCCAACTTTACCCACATTCTCTGGCCAGGTTACTTGTCCCTCTACCTGTACATTTTCCCAATGCCATTTATTTAAATTCTCTCTTATAATTTGTTCTTGCTGCTTCCTAATATAATTCTGTCGTGTGTGCAGAGGTGTGTGCATATTTACTACCCTAGATTCCTCCCCAAAAAGATAAGGCCCCAAAATGGGTGAAGTCTTCCAGCTGACTCTCTGCCAAGGCATCATCAACCCCCCTGCAACATCAATCACCACCTTTAATTTAAAAGTTGTCTTAATGGATTCACTGAAGAAAAACTTAAAAAAGGAACTTTTAACTGAGAGTTCAGATTAACCCTCGGTGATCAAAACCAGGGCTTCCAATGGATAAAAATGGAAAAGCATTTGAAACACTACAAAAATAAAAAAAAGGAGAATGATTTTTTGCCTTTTTTTAAAAGCCAGGCATGTGAAAGAGTGACTGATAAAACAAAGAGCTTCAATATATACAATATATACCTGTTCCATTGAAGGACAAGCTATGATCTGGAGATCTTCATTACTAAATTCTTCTTTTAACAAAGCATGGAGTTTCTGGAACATTTGCTGAATGTTATTCTTTCGAAAGGGAGAAAAATAACAAGAGACAATATTGAAATAACACAAAATTATTAAAATAACACAGAATTCATCTCAAACATATGCTAGAGTAAGCATGACATATATGGAATAGCTACTGAAGGCCAGATGATGTAGCAGAGCTTTAAGGGGGTTTCCTCTAAAAAAAGGCCCAGAAGAGCAGCAAAGAACCCCATCTGGCTGTGAGGAAAAGCCTCACCTAAGATGGGAAGGAAGGAAACACTAAGTCCTACAGATTTAAATGCTGAAGAACTCAAACTTGGGGCTTCCTGTGGGTTACAAAAGGGTCTCTGTTGGATCTGCTTCACTCTCCCTAGCACCAGCGCTCCTGCCCATGAAGAACTGGCCATGCTTAGAGCAAGCTGATGTGCAAAACAAAGTTACACGGCCTCTGTAGGCGGCATACATGGAAGAGAAGGACAGCATTTCTTAAAAATCTAAAAACTCACAATGAGAGGGCCAACAGGTTGAATGATGCTACAAAAGGTCTCTAAAGTCTTATTGACTAAATTAGGGCCCAGCAGTGACACAAGACACAAGGCTGATGTCCATCTAATAATACTCACCCTCACTGGCTTAAACAAAATGAACTCTGTGTCTTTGTTGGACAGGTATAAGGACATGCTTCGCAACGTTGACGGCAGCTTCGTTTTTATCGTCTTGTAAGTGGAAGAGACCAGATCGTTGACCTTTGCTGAAAGTAAAGACAATTAACTGATTAAAATACCCTTTTGCTGGTTAAAAGGCACATTCCAGAAGGGATCTCCACTCTGCCAGAGTTGACTGTAACCACAATGCAGACTGAGAAGAGTGGTGTCATCTCCCTGCATGACCACAACACATCAAAGCTCTTTCCCCGGGATCTAGATCCTGGGTTTCTCGGGATCTACTCACGACATGACCCCGATTTCCCTGCTGTGAATCCATTCAACCCCCATCTGCCAGCTCCCCACATCCTTCAGAGGTCCCTGAGGCTGCAGCCTTCCAATAGCAATGGACGTCTACCTAGGCTTTCTTCTAGAAAACTTTCTGATCTGGAAAAGCAACTGCTGGGGAATAAAAAGGGCTAGTAAAGAGCACAGCACGTGACAGCTTCTCCTTGCTGCCCATGTGCCACGTCTGCAAGAGGAGAGGCTGCGTGGCCACCTGGAGCATGACTCAAACGGACAGGAATCCTCCTGTCTCAGTGTTCTGGATGGGTTCGGGGCTCGGCAATTGAAAGCACACGCACTGAGAGCAAAATCCACCCCTTAGTTTATTTAGGACAATTCACACTAACATCACACTAAAGCAAGACGACTACTTAGCAACTACCTGCGGAACGAGGCGCCTACGTAGCAATTACTTACGAGAGGATACTTGCCAGCAGGACAGCGAGACCGATCATTCCCCCGCCGTGGACCAGAGGTGGCTGACAGGCTCCAAGCTTGCGGGCGTCCCCGCGGAGACAACGT